AAAAGTACATGAACATGTGCAATGTTTGCCTCAAGCACCAGTCTGTCATTGCCATTCTAAGTGTCTTTGCCATGTAATATGGGTCTACAATTTTAAAAAGGTTTTCTGCTTCCAAAATGAAATGTACACATTTTAAAGGATGTTGAAAGGCTTTAAATATGACTGACAAGTAAAAACAATGACTTTATGGGCTGATGCGTACAGCAAAGAGCTTGATGTACTGAGCTGAGGTGGGTTAAAAAAACGTGTGGCTTGTACTGACTGCGACACAACGTCAGTACAGCGTTTCACCTGAGAAGCTTGTTGTATCAAAACCAAGTCATTTTGTCATTAGATCCACCCTTCATTTAGATGCTGTGTTTATGCTGTTGTGTGCTGGAGTCAGCTGTGGTACTTTAAGCAGGCGGATTTTGAGCTGCCATGTTTTTTCTGTATCCACCCATAATTAGCAGTTATTGTGGCATTTTTTGTGAATGTTCTTCCCTTAAAGGAAAAAGAAATGTAAATGTTTCCCACCACACTGTTGAGGGAGTTCAGCTACAGTGGTGGACATGCTGACACCGAAAGCTTTCTGTCCCTACAATAAGCTGATTCTGTGCATTCAGTCCTGCACTGCCCTTGTCCATATGGGGACCGAGTGTACTAATCCCTTTTACTCTATTATAATCTGTGTTCCGCTGATAATGCGCCTGATGTTATATAACACAGTTTTTTCCCCTTTCAAAACCTGTTCTGATTTCAGTCAGCTGTAGTTTATGTTTGGTTCTTTAGATTTAGGTCTGTTCATTTACCCATCTCCTCTGTGCAATATGCATTTTTCCTCAGATCATTTTTGGACACCAAATAAAGTCTCAGTTTGTATTAAGAAAGTAACACATTAATGAAGGTTCATAAAATGTTTGCCATGATGATATGTATGATGTTCTTCCACAGTGACGGCACAGCACAAGAGTGGAGCAAGAGACTTTGTCTACTCAGAGATTCCTTTTTATCTGTTTCATCTGTCCCTCCATGCTTCTCAGCTCTCATTCATACACAGCATGTGTATTCTTTAACCGCATGATGATGGATTCCTCTTTGATCTACATGACAGGATTATTCCCTGTGGTTGTAGCCAAGAGCTCTGCAGTGCGTGGAGGAGGAAGGGCACAGGGATTTGGTCAGAGAGCAGTGCTGTGTCATTCCAAACCTTCCTTCCTGATGTCAGAAGGATGTGTTGTCTGCTTCTAAACCTTCTAAACATTAACTTATTACTTAAGATCGGCGTTGTCCCCTCTTCCTTTAGAAGTCCTGTGGTTAAACCTCTACATAAGAAACAACACCTTGATCCAGACCCCTCCACTGAACTGGTGCTTAATAAAGTCATGAATGATCTTCTGCTTATCATGGATTCAGATCCCACCTCTATGCTTTTGACACCACAGGTCATTGTTTACCCCTA